TAACGTGTGATAATCTGGTCGATAATAGTTAGCGTGCAGGATCCGCCGCTCTGTTTCTCATCATATTCACATTCAAATGAAGCTATAACTACGATTTACTTATAGAGGCGACCAATCCGTTAAAAAGGCAACGTTTTAATAACAGAAACTAAAAACACGATAGTATTGACGGTTTTTAAAAATGCATCAACCTCTCTGGGTTAGGTTTGGGACTGATAGTGTTCGTACGTGTCTGGGGCCAGATTCACGAAATCACTTACGAACCTGTACATCTTTTCTCAATCTTTGGCAGCTTTGTTTACAATTATTAAGCAGTTAATGAGCTCCGAAGCACCAGGAGGCTGTTTATAACAATAACAACAGTTGAATGGGAAGTTTTCATGCTTGTAAACTGTTTAATAAATGTAACCAAAGCCGTCAAAGATTGAGGAAAGATGTACACGTTCGTAAGTGCTTGCGTAAGTGCTTTCGTGAATCTTGCCCCTGGCTAGGGGCCAAACAGTCGTATTTTTGTACAGAGTGGTAAGTCGAGTCGAACGGGCTCCGAAGTTTACGGTAATAATTTAACCACCTGGGCACTACCAATCAAGAGCCGGGATGACTTTCCAGTCCCAAGTGAGTTAGTTTTCTCGAATCTGTGTAGTTTGTCGCGATCGGTAACAGTATATATATATATATATATATATATATATACTGTTATATATATATATATATATATATATATATATATATATATATATATATATATATATATATATATATATATATATATATATATATATATATATATATATATATATATATATATATATATATATATATATATATATATGCGAACAAGCCTGAATGGTCCCCAGGACAATATGCAACTGAAAACTCACTCAATACTATCGTAGTTATATATATATATATATATATGTCGTACCTAATAGCCAGAACGCACTTCTCAGCCTACTATTCAAGGCCCGATTTGCCTAATAAGCCAAGTTTTCATGAATTATTGTTTTTTCGTCTACCTAACCTACCTAACCTAACCTAACCTAGCTTTTTTTGGCTACCTAACCTAACCTTACCTATATATATAGGTTAGGTTAGGTTAGGTAGGGTTGGTTAGGTTCGGTCATATATCTACGTTAATTTTAACTCCAATAAAAAAAAATTGACCTCATACATAGAGAAAAGGGCTGCTTTATCATTTCATAAGAAAAAAATTATAGTAAATATATTAATTCAGGAAAACTTGGCTTATTAGGCAAATCGGGCCTTGAATAGTAGGCTGAGAAGTGAGTTCTGGCTACTAGGTACGACATATATATATATATATATATATATATATATATATATATATATATATATATATATATATATATATATATATATATATATATATATATATATGTTGTGCAAAATAGCCAGAACGTACTACTTGGCCTAGTATGCAAGGCCCGATTTGCCAAATAAGCAAAGAGATTTTCGTTATTAAAAAAATCCAATGGATTCATTTGGATTAATATTATTATATTATATTATTACTGACTTAGTTATGTTAGTTTAGGTTAGGTTAGTTAAGGTCAGGTTAGGTTAGGTTAGGTTAAGTTAGTTCAGGTTAGGTTAAATTAGGTTACGTTAGGCTAGATAGGTTTGGCTAGGTTTGATCGTATTTCTATGTTAGGTTTAACTTAAAGTAAAAAATGTTTTAATCATATATGATATAATGGAAAGCTTTATCTTTTCACAAAGAAAATTTTAGAAAAATATATAATTTTAGGAAAACTGGGCTTATATATACCTAAAAGACAGAATATCTGTTAGTCTATATATCTGTTTGTTTGTTTATCTGTCTGTTTGTCTATCTGTCCAAATCTATCTCTACCTATACATGTCGATCTCTATCTATCTATCTATCTATCTATCTATCTATCTATCTATATCTATTTTTTGTACACAGGTGGGTACAGGAGCAAACTCTTGCTGACTCCTGCTAGCAGGCCGAGAACTTCATGGTAAACCTTACCCTGCTAATTTCCCTGGAATACGATCCGTCAATCGTTTAACAACCAGGTACCCAATCACTGCTGGGTGAACAGAGGTGTACAGTTAAAGATTGGCGCCTAGTCAATCCTCCCCGGCCGGCAACTTTATCAATCTAGCTCGTTCTCTATCTACTTATCTCTCTATCTAGATATCTTTTTATTCTCTCTCTGGCTATCTACCTTAAATATCTCTGCATCTAGCTACCTATCTATCTATCTACCTATCTTCCCATCTCCCCCTTCGCCCCTCCCCTCACTCAACTCCCTTCGATTTCTTAATTTGGTTTTCCTTCTCTTCTGTTCCTTCTAATCCATTTCTTCCATTTTGTTTATTAACACATTTAGGTACATCTGCACTTGTGCAGCTGCCCTAGACTATATGAAGGGGGAGTACAGTGTGTCAAAAAGCTAGCTACGTGGAAATCCCCATGACACAGGATGGTTAGTGATACAGAGGCATGTGATAAGTGAACAAATGTGTAGTGTGTGTAGTAGGAGCAGTGTGTAGTGTCATGTGATAAGTAGTCTGCACTGGCAGACTCTGGGAGCATTATGAGGATATCATCAACACAAGAGTGAATAAGGGGGCCTGGGGGCCTCGTAGCCTGGTGGATAGCGCGCAGGACTCGTAATTCTGTGGCGCGGGTTCGATTCCCGCACGAGGCAGAAACAAATGGGCAAAGTTTCTTTCACCCTGAATGCCCCTGTTACCTAGCAGTAAATAGGTACCTGGGTGTTAGTCAGCTGTCACGGGCTGCTTCCTGGGGGTGGAGGCCTGGTCAAGGACCGGGCCGCGGGGACACTAAAGCCCCGAAATCAACTCAAGATAACCTCAAGAAGGTAGCAGTGATACTAAAAGTCCCCCATCTCGCAGGATGGTTATTATACTGAACATATTATATTATACGCCATATTATACTGAACACGCCATATTATACACGCCATATTATACTGAACACGCCATATTATACTGAACATACATGGCCATATGTTCAGTAGCCTGCACTGGCAAATTTGGGGTGCAATATGAGGATATCTTTAAGATTTTTTTTTGTTATTAATACATTAGGTACATTTGCATTAGTGCAGCTACCCTAGACTATATGAAGTGAAGTACAGTGTGTCAAAAAAACTAACTACGTGATGCTATAAAATCCCCATCACACAGGATGGTTAGTCATGCAGAGGCATGTGATAAGCAGTCTGCACTGACAGACTCCGGAAGCATTTTGAGGATATCATCAACACAAGATTGAATAAGGTAGCAGTGGTAATACAAGTCCCCATCTCGCAGGATGGTTAGTCATACACGACCATATGTTTAGTAGCCTGCACTGGCAAATTTTGGGTACACTGTGAGGATATCTTCAAGAATACGAGAATGAATAAAGTAATTGCAAAGCTCCAGGTACCTCATGCCAACTGGTCTGAAAGGTCTAATAACTGGGCATTCAGTGATGTAGTGTGGGAGATCGTGCCGTAGTTCCTGCTCACAGAGTTTGCAACTGGAGTGCTCAGGATTGGGAGATCCGTCACCTGCAGCCACCTGCCACAGGTAACGGTAACCCAACCTGATCCTGGCAACCACTGTGTCGCACAGTCTGGTGGACGTTTTGTGCTGTCCATAGATATAGATTTCAGATCTGAACAAATCATAGCTTTTTATACTAGTACTTTCAGGTCGTTGGGAGTCAGTAATTTCTTTCCTATCAGATCTGAGTGTTTGAACCAATACAGTTTTGACAGCAGAGATGGGGATACCTAGATCTAATTCAACTTCATCCTTGTTACACGCTAATTTGGCTGCAATGTCTGTCTCATTATGATGGGTTATATTTATGTGTGAAGGTATCCATACAAAGGAGATTCGAGACCCTTTACTCTGTGCATCAATTAGGTCATTTATAATTGGGAGTATGAGGTTCTTGCTGTCGATCTTCCAAGAGAAGTTTATCTTTAAGAACATTTATCTTATCAATAGCAACTCTGTGTAAGCTACACGCCATATTATACTCTCGACTGAATGAAAAACTCCCTGAATATGGCCGAGTGGTATTTATAACATTTTTTAAGGCATTGAACTTGCGCTTATCCCGACCAGCATATATACGCCTTTTACCCCAGAATAGATTTCCCTTGAGCAGAATATCCAAATTGTTTAAAATATATATAATTGCTGGAGCGCTTTCGACCATCTCAGGCCTTCATCAACAGCATGAATGAGAGAGGAACAGTAGAGAGAGAGAGAGAGAGAGAGAGAGAGAGAGAGAGAGAGAGAGAGAGAGAGAGAGAGAGAGAGAGAGAGAGAGAGAGAGAGAGAGAGAGAGAGAGAGAGAGAGAGAGAGAGAGAGAGAGAGAGAGAGAGAGAGAGACAGTTTAGCAACCGGAAGCCAAGTAGCAGAGTAGGCTACATGAGACAGAGCAGCGTGGTTGCCTGAGAAAACACCCAGGATACCAACAGGAAACACGGGATTAAGAGAGAGTGCTTTAAAATAATGGAGCGTATCTGAACCATATATACTTGTTTATGTGAAACGTTGGAAATAAGTTATAATGATTTTAATATTCTGCGTATTTTTTTACTCAGTATGAATGCCAATCAACCCCCCCCCCTTTGATTCCTTGATTTGGTTTTCCATTTTCTTCTAATTTCCACTCATGCTTAAACTACCTTATTTTTCCCCTGAGCCAGAGACTGAATAGACATGTAATTTCTCTGCCAGGAATCTTGTGGATTTTATTGCTGTGAAAAACAGGTAATTTTATCAATGTGACTAGTTTAGTCCCCCCTCCTCCCCCCCTTTCTCAAGGAGGACATAGTTGAGTATACAGTATACTGTTAAGACTGCTCGTTATCGTTTTAATTTGGACTACTGTGTTAATGTTGCTTTCTTCCATGTTTGTACATTTACCGATTTTTGAGGCAATTTATTCTATAGTTAACTCGTAATATACATTTTTTCTTACCCTCCCTTGTATATGTTTATCTTAGGCTCCGTGTTGGTCTGTCTCGTGTAGCCGACTCGTCTTCCTCACTTCCTGGTCCATCACCTGTGTTTAGAGCTGTCATCTCTCTCTGTCATCTGTCCGTCATGCTCTTGTCGAAGACCAAAAAAGACTCAAAAATGCTCCAGCAATTACTTATTTTTTAATACACGGTTATTTTGTGTGTATAATAATTCATTGTGTCGGGGGACAGGAAGCCAGATTGTATTCATACATGTATGGCTTTTATCGAGATTCATCAAAGTCATTCTCTCTCAGGCACTGTGTAAACAAGGTCATTCTCTCTCAGGCACTGTGCTAACAAGGTCATTCTCTCTCAGGCACTGCACTAACAAGTTAATTCTCTGTGTATAAACACAATATTAATTTAAGTACACGAATAATGAAACCGGTGAGGTAGAGTCCTAGAGTCCTATATATATTGCCTTACAGGACCTTATATAGGACTCCTTCGTAGAGGATGCAACATTCTTAGTCTATCTCATATCCTAATTCCGAACAAAAATAAATGCTTCACAAGCAACACCCACAAATGCAACCCACTACCACCAACAGTGTTCTCATCTTTCAGCCCGTCACGAAGCCTCATTACCGAAGATCACAAGATACTTTTCTTCAAGAAGTGCCGGACCAACCGGGCTGTGGTGGATATGTGGGCCTGCGGGCCGCTCCAAAGCAACAGCCTGGTGGACCAAACTCCCGCAAGTCGAGCCTGGCATCGGGCGCAGGCTTGGGGAGTAGAAGAACTCCCAGAACCCCATCAAGCAGGTATATCGAGCAGATATCACCGGGGGGAAGTTTTAACGTGTTTATCGAGGATGAACGCGGCAGCTATAGTTAAACGCTGTTATCCTGCCTTGTGCTATCTTGTGCATGTCCATGACGCGTGTGATGCTCTTGACTCGATAACAGGCAAGGGATCGTGTGCTGTCTGTCGGTCAATATAATCAATAAGAGCGACGATAAGCCGTGTAATATGACGATTTAAGAATTGTATTCTATATATATATATATATATATATATATATATATATATATATATATATATATATATATATATATATATATATATATATATATATATATATATATATATATCGCATATTCTGTATTTATTATTTTCTGGTTTAGGGCTTCTATCCCTCTAACTATTTTCTTAGCATCAGGGCTTAATTGGAATAGGAGTTCTCCAAAACTCATTTTCGTACTTTTAAGGTGAAGAAAAGAAGTGATTTACTATAGAGTGTATTACACTTATTTGTATAATTTGCACGACGTATATGTTTATGTTTAACATATACGTCGTGCAAATTATACAAATAAGTGTAATACACTCTATAGTAAATCACTTCTTTTCTTCACCTTAAAAGTACGAAAATGAGTTTTGGAGAACTCCTATTCCAATTAAGCCCTGATGCTAAGAAAATAGTTAGAGGGATAGAAGCCCTAAACCAGAAAATAATAAATACAGAATATGCGGTCATATTCAATGAAACATGTTTGAAAGAAAACCTGCTGCCAGTATACACCAATATATATATATATATATATATATATATATATATATATATATATATATATATATATATATATATATATATATATATATATATATATATATATATATATATATATATATATATATATATATATATATATATATATATACACGACTCGACTCTCACTCTGTCTACCTAACTCTCACTCTGTCTACTTAACTCTCACACTGTCTACTCAACTCTCACACTGTCTACTCAACTCTCACACTGTCTACTCAACTCTCACACTGTCTACTCAACTCTCACACTGTCTACTCAACTCTTACACTGTCTACTCAACTCTCACTCTGTCTACTCAACTCTCACACTGTCTACTCAACTCTCACACTGTCTACTCAACTCTCACACTGTCTACTCAACTCTCACACTGTCTACTCAACTCTCACACTGTCTACTCAACTCTCACACTGTCTACTCAACTCTCACACTGTCTACTCAACTCTCACACTGTCTACTCAACTCTCACTCTGTCTACTCAACTCTCACACTGTCTACTCAACTCTCACACTGTCTACTCAACTCTCACACTGTCTACTCAACTCTCACACTGTCTACTCAACTCTCACACTGTCTACTCAACTCTCACACTGTCTACTCAACTCTCACACTGTATTTGAACAGTCATATCATCTTGCATATATTATGGGGGGTCTTATAGCACAGTGGTCCTCGTTCTGGACGCACAATCGAAGGATCTAGGATCATATCTAGAATGAAACGATTGGGCATTTTTCCTGATCCGGCTGTTCAACTAGCAGTAAATAGGTACCCCTGGAGTTAGTCAACTGTTGTGGGTGTTGTTGCATCCTGAGAGAGGTCAGAAGTTGGACTAGAGAAAGGGGGGTGGGGGGGGGAGAGAAACCCCGATAAGCCTAAGTACTTTTACATTCGCCAATTTACTCAATTACAGGTTACCTTAAGGTTACCTTGAGATGATTTCGGGGCTTAGCGTCCCCCGCGGCCCGGTTCTTGACTTGGCCTCCTGGTCTATAGGCCTATGCAAGATATTATCACCTCTTTCTAACTTTCCTTGATCTGCTACGTGACCTTATACCAGGGGGGGTGACGACACCTCAGCCCCCCATTCAGTACAGTATTCAACATATCTTTATTCAAGATTTGTGCTGGTAGGCTAATAGGAGCTGCCTCGTATGGGGTCAATAGGAGCCGCCTCGGGACAATAGGACCTGCTTCGTATGGGACAATAGGACCTGCTTCGTATGGGACAATAGTAGCCGCCTCGTATGGGATAATAGGAGCCGTCTCGTATGGGACAATAGGACCTGCTTCGTATGGGACAATAGGACCTGCTTCGTATGGGACAATAGGACCTGCTTCGTATGGGACAATAGGACCTGCTTCGTATGGGACAATAGGACCTGCTTATTAACCCATTTATTCGAATGTTCTTCCCATGTTTTGTAAGTTTCTCAATGTGAATATTTGATCTATATAAATCATCAACATCGAACCCATTGCGTTAATCACTGACATTTCTTAAGCAAAATTCGTGGACCCTTTCAATCACAGTCTTGCCATACACTTTGTAAACTAGTGCCTCAACGACCTATTCTACCCTAATCTAACCTACCCTAATCTGTCCCAACGTAACGAAACCTAAGGTAAAGCACCGTATTTATATTTAATCTAATCTAACCTAACTTGATAATTTACAATGTACAAGGAAATATTATCATAAACTGACAGTGAAATAAGCCTTTGACGTTTAAGCCGAGTATACATGGATTGAGTACCATGTATACTCCGTAAACAGTAATTTGTTTACATATTTCTCAATATAAGGCCATTCATTCCATATCATCCAAGCTGATGATGGTTTCAGGTAAACTCACTGATGATGGTTTCAGGTAAACTCACCAAGATCAACTCTTCAACAGGAAAGTTTGCGGCGTTCTTGGTTTACAGCCGAAAGGAACTTCCCCTCCTCCCTAGGAGACAGCTTCCAATACTTTTAATTGATGCTCGAGAGCGTCTGAGTATTTTCCTTGTTCGTAACAACGAATTCTCTGTATTTCTCCGTTACAGGTGCTGATAACGTTATCTGGAGGTGCCCGGGACGACACCCAGGCGGCCAGCGCCTCCCACTTCCATCGTACTCCCATGATAAGAGGTGTTCCGGGGCCCCCCACCTTAAGCCCGCCAGCTTACGCTTGGAGAGTCAGTACGTTATTGCATCTGCTCCGAGACGGAATGCTTCAGGAGGCTGGAAGCAGAAGAAGCTGCGACGCCGTCGTTCTCAGACCAGCTGCGTGTCGTGTGACGAAACTAATCCGTGTGACGAAATATATCTCGCAACCCGTGACATTCAGATAAATGATAATAATAATTCGTCGACCGGCCAAAAAGAACCGATTAGGGACCTCAACCGGCCAAAAAGAACCGATTAGGGACCTCAACCGGCCAAAAAGAACCGATTAGGGACCTCAACCGGCCAAAAAAGAACACACACACACATATATATATATAACAATAAACCTATCCTTGAGGGAGAGAGAGACAAATAACAAAGGGGTGTTCTTTGGATCTTTGAAGTCACCATGACTTCTATCGTCTCGACGTCGCTGACTGACGTCACCTCCACGCTGGACGTGCACCACGTCGACACCCCCGTCAACTGGTCCCTCATGCTGGGGATGGTGGTGTCCTTCACAGTGATGGTGGTGGGCTCCTTCGGCAACCTGCTGACGGTCTGCACCCTCGTGCACCAGTTCCACATACCCAGGAAGGTCAGGTGAGTACCTGTAGCATGTAAGGTGAGCACCAGGAAGGTCAAGTCGGCGCCAGGAAGGTCAGGACGGCGCCAGGAAGGTCAGGTACGCACCAGGAAAGTTAGGTGAGCAACATGTAGTGTATATGAGTACAATGAAGGTCACGTGGGCACAAAAGGAGGTCAGATGAGCACCAAAAAGGTCAATTAAGCACCCAGGGAGGTCAAGAGAGCACCCAGAGAGGTCAAGTGAGCACCCATGTGCAGGTATGTCGTGTGACCATACACGAACCATAGTGCCACAGTGCCACTGGGGAGTTGGATCTCTCGGACCTTTAACCTCTGGCTTCCGTTACCATAAATGGGTAACTCACGGTTCCAAGGGAGGAACAGTGTTGCTTATCGTCCCTCTAAGGTAAGCAACACTGATTCTACGAGATTCCAATATGTCTTTATATACACTTATAGAATCAGTTTGTTTATATTCTCATATAAGACTACGTTTCAGTGTAATGTGCGCTCATTCACAGCTACTTACAGTGTTTTAGGCCTATGTTTGCAGCTCATTCCAATGGGTGTTATTTATATTCAAAGCTAGTTTCCCCATTTAGGCCTACATTTACAGCTATAGTTTCATATTTTATTTTAAAATATTTTCATACTTTAGTTTCTATAACGACATGGTATAAGGATAAATCCTTATAAGATAGATCCCTATATACCTCGTCGTGCTCTGGTCGCTAGAAGCGTGTGTGGGTGGGAACACCTACCAACATAGGTTCGAACCCTCATCACGGCTCCTATACGGATTTTCTCAATAATAATAATAATATTAATAATTTGTTAATTTTAAAAATATACAAAAGAATATGATACAGAGGTTTAATAGTTGTTAGAGAGTATGTAACACTTAATTAATAAGGCCACAAATACCCAAAGCCTTGCAAGCATAAGAGAAGGTTGCAAAGGCTTGCAAAGGTACGCCTCTGTACGCGAGAGCATCACGGTAAGGTCAGTATTTAACTCCGTAGCGTACAGATAGGAAGGTCAAGGTCATCACTGTTTTCTGGCCATTGGAAAGTTTATAAACACATTAACGAAGGCTCACCCACTGTGTTGACAGCTGCGTCCGTCGCCAGATGGCAGCACCGTCGGTACGGAGGTTGATGATGGGGAGGTCGGGGGAGAGGGAATTATCAAGGGGAAAGCACCAAGCCATTACGACCATATAGCACTGGGAAGGGGTCAGGATAAGGATTTGGGATGGGACGGGGGGGAGGGGGGGGGAAGGAAGGAACGGTGCCCAACCACTTAGACGGTCGTGGATTCAACACCGACCTGCATGAAGCGAGATCGTCGCTCTTCCGTCCAGCCCAAGTGGTTGGACTTGGGACTGTTGAACCGTTACAAAGCTCGTTTTTCTGCTTGCTAAAACCGTATATAATATTAAGGTTGAATGCATTAGCGTAGGGTTGTGTGTGTTAGGTTCGGGTGGATTAGGTCAAGTTGGGTGAAGAAAACCTGGCTCAGGTTGGGTTAGGTTTGGGTAAGGTTAGGTTAAGTTTGGGTAAGGTTAGGTTAGGTTAGGTTTGGGTAAGGTTAGGTTAGGTTAGGTTTGGGTAAGGTTAGGTTAGGTTTGGGTAAGGTTAGGTTAAGTTAAGTTTGGGTAAGGTTAGGTTTAGGTAAGGTTAGGTTAGGTTAGGTTAGGATAGGTTTAGGTAAGGTTAGGAAAGTTATACAATCCAGTGGCGAACTGTCTCGTGTACAATGGGAACGGTACCTTATAACCCGCACACGATCAGGAGTCGCCCAATATCTTAGTGTCTATACTTACCAAACCTGTACATCTTTCCTCAGTCGTGGCGTCTTAGTTTGTATAAAGCATTTGAAGAGCTCCGAAGTGTTACGAAGCTATATATATAAATAACTAATAGCCTTGGGTCGTAAAATGTTCATTAAATAAAACCTAAGCCGCCATAGTTGAGGAAAGCTGTAACGGTTTCGTAACTAGGGGACACTCAAGTGCTTGATGAATAAGTGGTCATGGTTTTCCGAGTTCGATCCCAATAAACCGCCTCTGTATGTTATCAAATTATTCCTATATTACTAAGATGAAGTTCAAGAGTCATTTTGACTCTTGATCCCAGGAACCTTGGTCTTGGTGGTAAGTCAATTTTAAATTTTGCCCCGAGGGGTGAGTTTATTGGGCAGCGCCACTCATCTCGTCAGTGGACACACCGCCATAGTGACAGTATTGGGCAGCGCCACTCATCTCGTCAGTGGACACACCGCCATAGCAGCATGTACATCACTCCCCAAACGGAAGAAAACCCGATGAACAAATTCACAAGGGCCGTGACGTGGATTCGAACCTGCGTCCGGGAGCATCCCAGACACTGCCTTAATCGACTGAGCTACGACAGGGTTAAAAGGGTTGAAACCGAAGTGATCGAAGTGATCTTAGTGTGATCTCTGTGTGTGAAGAAAACCCGCTTCCCTGATTGCTTACGCTTCCAGAATAGAGAAGATGTGTGTTGTGCTTCCCCAAACATTGCTAGAGCTGTGTCCCGCACGGCTTAGGGAAGACGTCTTGAGGGGGATCTGAAGACTGCGGGGTTATGGAACACTGTGGTACAGCTGTAGATAAGGAGCCGGCAGCCTCCACGTATATAAATATATATTTATATATTCCTGAGCCCATTATGTGCCTCTGTAACCCTACCCACCACCGCCCACGGGATGGGTATGTGGGTTATCTTGAGGTTATCTTGAGATGATTTCGGGGCTTTTTAGTGTCCCCGCGGCCCGGTCCTCGACCAGGCCTCCACCCCCAGGAAGCAGCCCGTGACAGCTGACTAACACCCAGGTACCTATTTTACTGCTAGGTAACAGGGGCATAGGGTGAAAGAAACTCTGCCCATTGTTTCTCGCCGGCGCCTGGGATCGAACCCAGGACCACAGGATCACAAATCCAGCGTGCTGTCCGCTCGGCTCCCTTGGGTGCATAGTAGTTGAATGAATGAATGAATGAACGAATGAATACTATTCATTTAACATGAGTTTCAGGAACAGTTCGGTGTAATATCAACTCCCGGGTCTTTCACTCTACATAATTCTTGAAGGATTTCATCCCCATGTTGGTACCTGATGACTGATGATGATTAAGCCACCCAGGAGGTGGCACGGGCATGAATAACCCGTAAGTTGGTACCTTGTGTCCGGCTGCATATATATCCAGCTCCCAGTTTCACAACTTTGAACTTGCTTGAGTACAAAGTTACTCGAGAAGCGATGAACTCTTCTAGATATTTATTGGACCTTATTTTTTTTTTTTACTGTATTCATGTCGCGTTGAAATTATTTTCTATGAATACAATGTTTTGCTTGGTTAAAATGTTGTCGAAGATAACATGTATTCTCGCCTGGCTTTGTTTTTTTCAAACACATAAATGAATATAAATGTCTAGGAATCAGTTTATTAAAAAAAATAATACCTAGCATTCAAGACAAAAATTAAATTAATTATAATCGAGCCTGAGTCTACTTTCTGGTGGTTGCGAGGATAAATGTCCCCGCGGCCCGGTCTCTGACCAGGTCTCCTGGTGGGTGATCTGGTCGGAATGCAAGGTGCTCTCGTTACGGTGTCCACAACTATCTTTACGGCAAGATGTCTCGGAAACATAGTGCGTTCCCCCCCTTAACCCTTCCCCTGGACGCAAGTTCGAACCCATTTCACTGCTGCAAAGATATTCTCTTAGAACCACAGCCTATTGTGATTTCATTTGGCATAGCTTGTGAGCCGTACTAATGATGGGTTGATGCCCCCGGCAGGGACGGGAGACATCTCCCGCCACGCAGGGTGCAGTCGCACCTCCACAGATGGTTCAAAAGGGCCACCACTTACGGTCTATAAGGAAATATAGATGTTTATCTCTCAGAATGTTTAGTAATATGTTTATTGTTTGTGATGTGTTTATATGTATGTATCAACACGATGTACTGAACGGGGGTGAGAATAGCTTGAGCTACCTCATCCCTTTGTGTGTATTTTACCTCAATAAACTTATTTCAATTTCAATACGGGCTATTCATGCCCGTGCCACCACTTGGGTGGCTTAATCTTTATCAATAAATCAATCAATCAATCCCCGGCAGGTACATCAAGGACCTCACCCCGGACACCGTCTTCATCATCAACCTGGCGCTGGCCGACCTCTGCTACAGCTCCATCAGTCTCCCCTTCATGTTCCTCACCTACTACCGCCTCTATGGCAACAACTTACAGGTACAACACACAACCCGTCCTCTTAAAAATAACGTCACTTTTGGCTCGTATGCGCGATATGGCTAAATTTGGACGTAATTTGAAATGAAATCGACTCACAAAAGTGACGTTCTGTTCCGTTTTCTATTTGAGTCGTCGGGCGTACACGCAGAGGTTATAAGAGAACACTTTAAATTAACGTTTTTCATAACGTTTTGAAACTTTATGAGAATTTCCTGCCCACCTAACCTATCAGAGGACCCTTAACTTACTGTTGTTGAAAAAAAAAATCCCAAATTTATTTTCATTTTTTTTTCAATTTCAAATTACGTCCAAATTCGGCCATACGGGCAAACGGCCAAAAGCGACGTTCTTTTTAAGAGGACATGTATTGAGTATATGTGCTTGCAGGATCCAGCTGTTAGCTCTTGGACCCCGACTTCCTAACTGTCGGTTGTCTAATGAACTAACTCCCGATCTAATGTTCTCTCGTAGCTACAACTATATATATATATATATTTCTCTGCTATGTAAGGTGTTTGAATAAGTTAGCCCTCTGTTTACCAGCAGAGTTTCTATTTTGAGCGATGACTGAACTAGGTGCTACTGTTCGTCATACTGAGTAATACAGTAGTTTACATCCAACCCGTTCTCGCACTTTCGTATAGTCAATATTAACTTATTTAATACGTGCATATGTGACATACTAAACATACTAGTTTCCCTTGAAAAGCTTCATAGAAAACACCGACCTTACCTAACCTTCTTAGTATGTTAAGATAAGCATCTTATTGCTTCGTAATTACAATTATTACTTAACCTATTATAAGTATAGGTTAAGTAATAATTGTAATTAGGAAGCAATAAGATGCTTATTGCTTCGTAATTACAATTATTACTTAACCTATACTTATAATAGGTTAAGTAAAAATTGTAATTACGAATTATTATAATAGGTTAAGTAATAATTGTAATTACGAATTATTATAATAGGTTAAGTAATAATTGTAATTACGAAGCAATAAGATGCTTATCTTAACATACTAAGAAGGTTAAGTAAGGTCGGTGTTTTCTATGAAGCTTTTCAAGGTAAACTAGTATGTTTAGTATGTCACATATGCACGTATTTAATAAGTCAATATTGACTGTAAGAAAGTGCGAGAACGGGTTGTTACATCAATGTTATTGGTCTTTCAGGCCCCGTGGGACCCGGACAACAAGCCGTGCATGGTCTCAGCCTTCTTGAGGTACACTAATGCCATCGCTGAGTGGACCACTCTGGGTCTGATGGCTCTCGAGAGGCGAGTTGTTGTCTTCTTCTTGGACTTAACCCTTGGACTGGACTTAACCTTGGACTTAACCCTTGGACTGCGGGATTAATTTGCACTTCACACTAATTATTTGCTTAAGATTTAAGGTTATTGTAACACCGGATGTCTGTTTCAAGAGCACAACTTAGTTTTATTAATTGTGACTTCATTGTTTATTAATATTATTATCAAAATATGTCAAAATGGCGAAAAAACGTATATAAGTCTTATTAGGAACCTGAGGGGGGGGGGGGGGGGGGGGTTAAGGCCTATCAACCTTTGGTCGTGGACGTACGTGGTGGAAATACTCTTAGACTGGCCCACTATCAGGAGTGTACACTGCTTGCTGACACAGTCCAGTGGATCACAGTCTCCTGTGCAATGATGTCCTACACTCAACTTACTAATGTCAGTTCCCCACTAATTTACGATACGCTCTTTAGAGATCAAAAGCTGCACAACGAAGTTTGTCAGAATCTTCTTTGTGCCTCAGGCTTCACGGCAGGAGTGAGTAAAAGTTGAATCAAAACTTAACATATGAGTTTGCAGAAATCAGTAATGAGTACACTTCTCTATCATACATAAAACAACAATAATCGTGACCATTACTAATATAGTTGTCTCGAATCTTCATTCTCTGAAGCTGTGTAGGCGGTGTAGCCTAGTGTCTAGCTTCGCCGCGAAATCATTTTTTATCACAATAACTTCCTCTGACAACTTTAATATTAACTCGGCTATAACAGTGCAATAAAATCATGTGCACACAGCAATGGTAAACATATTAAATACCTCACCGTTAAATTAAATAATAACAATGATAAATAAATCTCTCCAACAAACAGGAATAAATAATAATTCACCCTTGAATAAATTAGAAATTATTATAATATATCTCTACACATATTTACCATATGTGAATATATTCACTTCCCAATCGCTGCCTTATTCACCACTTTCGTTAATGATTTTATATTCCAAGTAATGCTCAGGGAAAGTCCCCATCTCACAGGCTGGCCCGCCCCAGGGCCATGTGATCCATAGCCTGCACTGACAGACTGCACGAGGATATGGTAACGATCACGATAATTAATAAAGTGATTGCAGAGCTCCAGGTACCTCATACCGGGAGGCCAGAAGAGTCGACTGTCTGAGTATTGGACCTGCTCACAGAGTTTGCACCTGGAGTGCTCAGGATTGGGAGATCCGTCACCTGTAGCCACCTGCCACAGGTAACGGTAACCCAACCTGATCCTGGCAACCAATATGACGTATTGTCTGGTGGACATTTTTATATATATTAACATAGGGCAAAGACCATATCCGAAGTGTTCAGACAATAGCGCCTCCCATATACACGTTTGACATGGGCAATTGATCCTTGCTGATATGCCTGGGACCTGTGGGTCATTACAGGTCATGGTTTTGCTTCCCATTACCAAAACTCAAAAATTCTAGTTCTGATCAGAGGACCTATTGACTTATAAGAGGCAGCTCTTTTTGGTCCACACGAGGCAGCTCTTTTTGGTCCATACGAGGCAGCTCTTTTTGGTCCATACGAGGCAGCTCTTTTTGGTCCATACGAGGCAGCTCTTTTTGGCACATACGAATCAGCTCCTATTTATAACCACCCAAACTCATACATTTATGTATCAAAGCTGCATAAATATCCAAACCCATCGCCTTGTTTTCATAGTACGTTTTATAACTATGCGGTCGATCGTACCAATATGTTGTAATTAAGCCACACTAACCCAATTTTTTAGCTATTTTTTATAGAATTCGGAAGAATTAAAGCTAAAACCAAACTTAAATATCTCTAGGCCTTGTCTATCACATGTCTATGTTATATTAGGCCTCAGATAGCATGTATTAGGTCTAGGAGGGTTAGGTTAGGCTAGGCTTTATTGGAAATATTATATATATATATATATATATATATATATATATATATATATATATATATATATATATATATATATATATATATATATATTTTTTTTTCCCGGCCTGTGAACTCATTCTAATTTCTGAGCCACCAGAAAGTCTAATTTCTGGTGATCCATCGCGACAAGGAATTTTAGTCCATCAGGAGGATGGGCTGATATATTCATGTTTCCCTGAAAGTGTGAATCATTGTGTGTCATTTCGGGTCTTCCGTCGACAGATGTGTGACGATCTACAACTTCCGGCGTAGCAGAGGTCCCAGCAGCCTCTTCTCTGCCAACAAGACGGTCCTCTACTGCGTCCTCATCTGGATCATGGGCATGATGTGCCAGATGCCAACACTCACAGGGGTATGTCTCGCCAGGACGCCACCCCATGCAAATAAAAAAAACTTAATAGACCACCCATAACCCACTTTGCACTTAAGCTTTCACCCTTACATTGCCCTCTACCTCCACTCCACTCCATACGTCACCTATCTATGCAACACAAGCCACCCATTCCCACCCCTCACCTCCATATCCCACCTACAACCCACTGGTGGGATATGTAATGTACTCAAGATAACCTCAAGAAGATACTCTGAACCTCTCACGATAGGTCGTTCCCCCCTCCAAACCTCCCACACCGGGTCACCCTCCCCCCTCCAAACCTCCCACACAGGGTCACCCCCCCTCCAAACCTCCCACACAGGGTCACCGCCCCCCTCCAAACCTCCCACACAGGGTCACCCCCCCCCCCCCCCTCCAAACCTCCCACACACAGGGAACACTACGACACATTCACTACAAACTACAAAACAACTTAATAAACAAACCACTTTTATTTATTCTCATATATCTCAACGTAAAATGGTCCGAAGATAATGAAATTTGCATATTTTACCAGTCAACCTGAGTACTAAATGAGGCCCTAATTTTACCTATTACAAATTTAAGGAATAATAGGCCTATTTTTCATCAGAGTATATATTGAATATTTTAAAAATATATATTTTTCATCAGAGTATGTATTGAATATATATATATATATATATATATATATATATATATATATATATATATATATATATATATATATATATATATATATATATATATATATATATATATATATATATATATATATATATATATTCAATTCAGCCTTCCTCTGAGAGAGGTGTTGAGGAAGTACAAGGAGACTTCGTTATGCAAGCCCCATGGGATTCCCTGCCGAGATAATGCCCTGATTATAACTCTTGGTGGAAAAAAAGAATCAGACTAATCCCCATCTGGTACACAGAAAAATCTGTAGTTAGTGGGAGACTCTCAAACGGGTGTTCAACTTTATAGACAGAGATGCAAGCCATTCAAAAGGCTTCGGAACATGCTCTTCCTGAACACCGACAACATGTTATCTTACGAATTATTCAAGAACTGTCATTTAAACCTTGTAACAAGAACACATACGTCACAATATTCATCTGAGCACTAATGTTGTAGCATTATTCCAATCGCTCAAAAGCCAAGGTACTTCTATCAACAGAGGGGTCAATTCATGTAGAAATACTAGGGAATGACATTGCAAAACTTTCAACTAAGAGAAGAAATGTAGATATTTACATACCACAGAGTAGGCAAATAATTAGAGATACAGTAATGCAGAAGATGTATAGTGACCACAACACAGTAGTTGCTGCACAGCACAGCAGCAGTTATTGATACGATAACTGATGATAACCAAAACTATCTTTCAGAAGTTCGGGGAGTTCGCATATAACGCAGACTACGTCAAGTGCGACTTCACCTACAACCGCACGGAGTACCGAGTGTTCTCCCCCAGGACCATGTTCTTCGCCCTGGAGAGTATGGTGCCCTGTATCCTCATCCTCATCGGCTACCTCTTCATTCTTTTCCAAGTCCACAGCAGCAGCAACAACGTCCTCTCGTTCCTCAGGTGAGTCTCTCTCTCTCTCTGTCTGTCTCTGTCTCTCTGTCTCTGTCTCTGTCTCTGTCTCTGTCTCTGTCTCTGTCTCTGTCTCTGTCTCTGTCTCTGTCTCTGTCTCTCTCTCTCTCTCTCTCTCTCTCTCTCTCTCTCTCTCTCTCTCTCTCTCTCTCTCTCTCTCTCTCTCTCCCTCTGACACTCCAGTGTTGTCTTTGTCTTATCTCAAGAAACCGAAGCAAACTGCCCATCAGAAGCTCCTCTTAAACCGCCTGGTGGTTCTCTGTGTATCTCTAAATCTCTATTTTTATCTCTGTTTCTCTCGTAATCATTAACGTTATGTTTACTTTCAAATAATCACCCAACACCACACTTGTAAAGGGTTCGGAACACATTTTTTAAGGATCCACGACGAACTGATAAGGGATTAGGACGGACCTTAACGTCTTCACTATGTCATCTGTTGGGGTTGGGAGAGGTGTTTCAGCCACCTTAGTGTAACTTTACTCCACACCGTCTAATGACAACTTGAGATCAAAGTTCACCAACTTGAGTTGCCTGGAGATAAGAGGCGAGTGTAGCTGTGGCCTTTTATCACTGCGTTACCCGACACCAGATTAGACATTAATCCCTTAAATCGTGGATTAACTCGAAAGTGATCAAGGTTATAAGATAATACACAGGTAATGTGGTCGAGCTGGTTAAGTATGTCTGGTGATGCCCAACCACTTGGACCGGACGGTAGAGCGACGGTGTGACTTCCTTGCCGGTTGGCGTTCAATCCTCCGACCGTCCCAAAGTGCTTGGGCACCATTCTTTCTCAAACCCCTACCCGTCCTGGCCTAAATCAATCTCTTCATTTACCTTTCATTTATCAGCTCTCTCCTGATAGCTCCCATTACCTTATGTCTGATGAAGATAAGAATAAGTTCTCAATTGCTGTTCCAAGTTAAATAATCTGACTTATGGAGACCTTAATAAGTGAGTATTTGACCCATACGTCTGATAAACAACTAAGAGGATGAATCTTTCAGATATAATACAAAACATCTTTTTCTCATATATATATATTAACGATATTACTTAATTAAGGAGAAACTTACTACAATGCCGGGGGAAAGGAAAGACCCGATATATGTGTTAGTGTTTAGATTTATATATTGGGTCTTTTTTATTTTCCAGCTCCTTGTCCTCATATCCCAGCTCCTTGTCCTCATATCCCAGCTCCTTGTCCTCATATCCCAGCTCCTTGTCCTCATATCCCAGCTCCTTGTCCTCATATCCCAGCTCCTTGTCCTCATATCCCAGCTCCTTGTCCTCATATCCCAGCTCCTTGTCCTCATATCCCAGCTCCATGTCCCCATATCCCAGCTCCTTGTCCCCATATCCCAGCTCCTTGTCCTCATATCCCAGCTCCTTGTCCTCATATCCCAGCTCCATGTCCCCATATCCCAGCTCCTTGTCCCCATATCCCAGCTCCTTGTCCCCATATCCCAGCCTATCTACATATGCCTTCCAGTTGCTAATTATTCCGTAATGATTATCGTCACAATATTCCCGTGACAGGTCGCGGTCGTCGCAGCGGTCGGTGTCGCTCCGTCGGAGCCGGACGACGCGCACCATCGCCAAGCTACTCTTCGTGTACCTGGTGTGCGTCATCCCCATCTGCGTCTACAACATCTCCCTCGGCGACAACGTCTCGGAGAAGAAGGAGCTGGGCATCGTGCTGTACTGCATCTACTGGTCCCAGTACTGCATCAACAACTTCATCTACGTGGTGAGCAACGAGAAGTACCGCAGCGCTTACTGCCAGTTCCTGTACTTCCTGCTGTGCCGCGAGATCCCCAAAGTGGCACTCCATCCGGCGGCCAAGAAAGTGGCACAGAGCCAGCAGGTGTTCACCGTGTCGTTCGGTGGCGCCCAGCGTCTGCAGGCGTTCAGGGACTCGCGTTTCCGAACGCCCTCGGAGTGCGAGGAGGCGAGACAACGCGAACTCCAGGGAGTCTACGTGAGACAAGACGACTCTCCCTCCAGTTCGATCTCCACCGTCACCAGGACCAAATACCTGAGGGAACTGAGTAGTTTCCCCCAGCAGGTAGGGAGCGAGGGCCTGCCTCCGTTGGTGAGATCGTATTCCATCAGCCTCAAGTCCTCCTCCAGCACAGAAATTCTGGTAAGACCAAGTCGTAGAGGTCGCTCCTTCAAGAAGGACCTCCAGGAGGCAGGTAGCAAGCTCAAGAGAACATTCTCTCTCTGATCGCATATCAATCCGTGTTGGTTTTTTTATGCATTATTCATTGATTTAATCTTCGGCATGTTATTTTATGGCCGTGATTTTTCAGTTACTCATTATTCATTCACGTGAAAATTAATCACGTGGAGATCTTCTTCGGCGTGACTCGTGAATTCATTTTCAGTTTTGTGTTGTGTTTAGTGAGTGATATTGTCATGTTCAGTGAGTGATATTGTCATGTTCAGTGAGTGATATTGTCATGTTCAGTGAGTGATATTGTCATGTTCAGTGAGTGATATTGTCATGTTCAGTGAGTGATATTGTCATGTTCAGTGAGTGATATTGTCATGTTCAGTGAGTGATATTGTCATGTTCAGTGAGTGATATTGTCATGTTCAGTGAGTGATATTGTCATGTTCAGTGAGTGATATTGTCATGTTCAGTGAGTGATATTGTCATATTCAGTGAGTGATATTGTCATGTTCAGTGAGTGATATTGTCATGTTCAGTGAGTGATATTGTCATGTTCAGTGAGTGATATTGTCATGTTCAGTGAGTGATATTGTCATGTTCAGTGAGTGATATTGTCATGTTCAGTGAGTGATATTGTCATGTTCAGTGAGTGATATTGTCATGTTCAGTGAGTGATATTGTCATATTCAGTGAGTGATATTGTCATATTCAGTGAGTGATATTGTCATGTTCAGTGAGTGATATTGTCATGTTCAGTGAGTGATATTGTCATGTTCAGTGAGTGATATTGTCATGTTCAGTGAGTGATATTGTCATGTTCAGTGAGTGATATTGTCATGTTCAGTGAGTGATATTGTCATGTTCAGTGAGTGATATTGTCATATTCAGTGAGTGATATTGTCATGTTCAGTGAGTGATATTGTCATATTCAGTGAGTGATATTGTCATATTCAGTGAGTGATATTGTCATATTCAGGGTGCTTCTTCTTGTTGTTCCCAGTTATAGCTGATGCTATTTTGTTCTCTCACGTACGTTCACATCAAGATACTCATGTTCACTCATATCACCATACTCATAGTCAATCATATCAACATACTCATGTTCAGTCACATCAGCATATGTTCATTCATAATATCACCATACTCATGCTCGATCAAATCACCAGAATCATATTCATGCATATAACATGCTCATGTTCATTCACATCAACATACTCACGTTAATCCATATCACCATACTCATGTTCATTCATATCACTTCCTTCAAAAATCCTCCTCCCCCCCCTGGGATTCACTCATTTACCCCACCTGCATATTCAACATTCTTCAATATCGGCCACTGAATTATTCACCCTCATTATTCACGGCTTCACTCATTTTCTACCCACTCAAGCCACAATTGTTTGAAACTATTTTACTCATTCATTTTTCATTATCTTTGAACGTTAATTAAATCTCACACAATATATATGATTCTGTATATGGTTATATTCTTCTATATAAATATATATATATATATATATATATATATATATATATATATATATATATATATATATATATATATATATATATATATATATTAATTTTAGTATATTTTGGTAGCAGTCTTTTTTCTAGGCATAAATTATTTAATGCGGCAGAAAGCGTGAGATCAGTCAAAGATTCTAGCCCGAATCTTCTCAATTTGTTCTCATGTTTTCTTCTCTTGGGAAGAAAGTTTAAAAAATTATCTCTCCAAAAGTTCATTTCTGTCACATTAAACATAAGATAGATATAGATATATACTGTATATTTAACGATATTTATATGTACAAATGAAGTATACAAATGAAGTATACAAATGACTAAGTATATGCATTATAACTGATGTGTATAACGTAGGTTAGGTCAGGAGAGGTCAGGTCAAGCTATGTTATGCTATGTCAGTTCAGGTTAGGCTAGGTTAGGTTAAATTCTGCATACTAGTATTTCCCGTATAAAAGTCTGCCCTGTATACCAGTATTTCTTATATGTCAGTATTCCCTGTATAAAAAGAATACGCTGCAAATCCATAAGTACTCACCTAGTTGTGATTGCGGAGGTTGAGGTTTAGCTCTTTGGTCCCGCCTCTCAACTGTCAATCAACTGGTGTACATGTTCCTGAGCCTACTGGGCTCTATCATATCTACATTTGAAACTGTGTATGGAGTCAGCCTCCACCACATCACAGCTTAATGAGTCACTTACAAAGGGAGAACTACCCAACTGATAGAAAAAAAAAATAAGGTACCAATTTTCAAGAAAGAAGATAGGGAGGAGGCACTAAACTACAGACCAGTATCACCGACAAGCATCTCCTGCAAAGTACTTGAAAGAATAATCAAGATAAGACTAGTTACTCACCCATAGAGAGAATTAGGTATGTAAATTAACATTAACTTGGCCTTAAGAAAAGGAAATCATGCCTAATAAGCTTACTAGAGTTCTAGATAAGGTAACGAAACTAAGGCAGGATACAGACGGTTGGGCAGTTTGTGTATTTCTGAACTGCGAAAAAGGCTTTGATACAGTACTTCACAAGAGTACTGTATCAGTCCTTTACTACTCAAACTTGAGATGCAGTTGAGAATAAGCGGAAAAGCGCTGGCAGGGTGAGGAATTACCTAACTGACTGGAGTCAGAGAGCAGCAGAAAGGGGCAAGAAGTCGGACCGGCGGAGGGTAACAAGCGGAGTTACTCAAGGGTCAATGATGTGACCTATAGTGTTTCTTATCTTTAAAATTACCTATCTACAGGAGATGAGTCTTATATGTCGATGTTTGCAGACGATGCACAATTTTAAAGAGGAGGCGTGAAAGATGAGGATAATAAGATTTTCCAAGATGACTTAAACAAGCTGTAGAGATGTTCCAAGGAATGGTTACTGGAGTTTCACACCAGCTAGAGCAAGGTGATGGAAATGGGAAGAGGTGAGAGGAGACCAGAGTGTCAGTACACAATGAAGGGAAGCTACCTCCCTGTAACGACTAGATGGGAACAGGTGAGAGGAGACCAGAGTGTCAGTACACAATGAAGGGAAGCTACCTCCCTGTAACGACTAGATGGGAACAGGTGAGAGGAGACCAGAGTGTCAGTACACAATGAAGGGAAGCTACCTCCCTGTAACGACTAGATGGGAACAGGTGAGAGGAGACCAGAGTGTCAGTACACAATGAAGGGAAGCTACCTCCCTGTAACGACTAGATGGGAACAGGTGAGAGGAGACCAGAGTGTCAGTACACAATGAAGGGAAGCTACCTCCCTGTAACGACTAGAAAGATAAAGACCTGGAGGTGGACGTAACATGAAGCATAACTCCAGAGGCTCATATAAATAGGATAACGTCAGCAGTATGCTCTGACGTGGAGAGGGGGGACCTGCTGCCTGGGTAACAGCTTCTCACCCGAATCAACCTACCCTGGCTTTGCGCCCTGGTGAGGTCACTCCAGACCGACACCCAGAGCGCAACTCCATAGTCTCCTGAGACTGATGGATGCCTACTATACTCTAAATCAGCAAAAGTTAGAACATCATTCATGACCCTAAATTAGGAGACATTTAGATCGCTGTACACCACCTATGTGAGACCAGTCTTAGAGCATGCCGCCCCATCGTGGAGCCCACCTTCTAAAAATAAAACACAAGAAAACTCAAAAAGGTTCATAAGTTTACAACGAGGCTCATTACAGAATTGCAATGGATGAAGCAACAAGAGAGAGGGATGACCTGGTAGAGACGTATAAAATACTTAAGGGTATTGACACAGTTGAAAAACAGGAATGTTCACAATACCAATAGACCAAGAGTGCTCAGCTAAATCATTGATATGTAAAAAAGTTTTCTCTTAGCGTAAGATTAATGGGAAAATGTAATTAACTAAAGGAGCAAGATGTAGAAGCAAACTCCATTCATAGTGTTAAAAGAAGATATGATTGCGAAATAGGCCAGGTGACATTGCACTAGACAACCAGGGCATAGAAAGCGGGGTCCAAGAGCCATTGTTTGACCCGACAGGCAAAAATATATGATTACGCACAAACAAAGAGTTAGGGGGGGGGACGTGATCACCTCATACAAGATTCTGAAAGGAATTTACAGGGTAGACCAAGTTTATTTAACACAAGATGTTCACCCACTAGGCGTTTCTGCCCGAAACGCTGCGCGTACTAGTGGCTTTACAAGATTGTAAATACTATGCTATGTATTCTGACAAACCCAATGTACCTTCTTGTATATAAATAAATAAATAAATAAATAAATAAATAAATAAATAAATAAACTAGGGGACACAGGTGGAAATTGAGTGACTAAATGAGCCATAGAGCCATTAACAAGAATTTGTTTAGTGTCAGAGTAATTAATAAACGGAATGAACTTGGCAGTGATGTGGTGGAGGCTGACTCCATACACAGTTTCAAATGTAGATATGATAGAGCCCAGTAGGCTCAGGAATCTGTACACCTGTTGATTGACAGTTGAGAGGCGGGACCAAAGAAGCTCCACCCCCCATCCCCCCCCGCAAACACAACTAAGAGAGTACACATGGCCTCGTGGCTGAGTGGATAGCACTCGGGGAATTGGATCCAGGTTCGATTCCCGGCCTAGACAGAAACAAATGGGCAGAGTTTCTTTCATCCGATGTTTTTGTTCACCTAGCAGTAAATAGGTACCTGGGATTTAGACGGCTGCTACGGGCTGATTCTTAGGGATGTGTGTGTGTGTGTGTGTGTGTGTGTGTGTGTGTGTGTGTGTGTGTGTGTGTGTGTGTGTGTGTGTGTGTGTGTGTGTGTGTGTGTGTGTGTGTGTGTGTGTGTGTGTGTGTGTGTGTGTGTGTGTGTGTGTGTGTGTGTGTGTGTGTGTGTGTGTGTGTGTGTGTGTGTGTGTGTGTGTGTGTGTGTGTGTGTGTGTGTGTGTGTGTGTGTGTGTGTGTGTGTGTGTGTGTGTGTGTGTGTGTGTGTGTGTGTGTGTGTGTGTGTGTGTGTGTGTGTGTGTGTGTGTGTGTGTGTGTGTGTGTGTGTGTGTGTGTGTGTGTGTGTGTGTGTGTGTGTGTGTGTGTGTGTGTGTGTGTGTGTGTGTGTGTGTGTGTGTGTGTGTGTGTGTGTGTGTGTGTGTGTGTGTGTGTGTGTGTGTGTGTGTGTGTGTGTGTGTGTGTGTGTGTGTGTGTGTGTGTGTGTGTGTGTGTGTGTGTGTGTGTGTGTGTGTGTGTGTGTGTGTGTGTGTGTGTGTGTGTGTGTGTGTGTGTGTGTGTGTGTGTGTGTGTGTGTGTGTGTGTGTGTGTGTGTGTGTGTGTGTGTGTGTGTGTGTGTGTGTGTGTGTGTGTGTGTGTGTGTGTGTGTGTGTGTGTGTGTGTGTGTGTGTGTGTGTGTGTGTGTGTGTGTGTGTGTGTGTGTGTGTGTGTGTGTGTGTGTGTGTGTGTGTGTGTGTGTGTGTGTGTGTGTGTGTGTGTGTGTGTGTGTGTGTGTGTGTGTGTGTGTGTGTGTGTGTGTGTGTGTGTGTGTGTGTGTGTGTGTGTGTGTGTGTGTGTGTGTGTGTGTGTGTGTGTGTGTGTGTGTGTGTGTGTGTGTGTGTGTGTGTGTGTGTGTGTGTGTGTGTGTGTGTGTGTGTGTGTGTGTGTGTGTGTGTGTGTGTGTGTGTGTGTGTGTGTGTGTGTGTGTGTGTGTGTGTGTGTCTGTGTGTGTGTGTGTGTGTGTGTGTGTGTGTGTGTGTGTGTGCGTGTGTGTGTGTGCGTGTGTGTGTGTGTGTGTACGTGTATAAGAGAGAAATATATGTAGTAGACATAATTGAGGGAAAAAAATACATCGATTAGAAAGACTAATAACCAAGAACTAACAGCTCGACTCCGCAGGCACAAATAGTAAATAGTAAACAAAAAAAAATAATAAATACACACACACATTAACTTGGGCTGAATAAACTAAGCGCAGACATGGAAATGATCTTACTTAAAATTTACCATTTAATGTGTATAGGAATATTATACACGCGCCCCATAATAATGGTCACTCACACCGGCAAAATACTAACAGATACCGAGCGCGCTAAATGACTTGACAGCAAGTTATAACGCAATAGGGAAGAAGACCATAACAAAGTCCTTGGAAGGCCTGAAGAAGGCACACTAGATTATGTCGCTTCAGGAGAAGCTAGCAAGGTCACCAATCCCCCCAAAAAATATTAGAATATACAAAGTTTAGGTGCATTATAAGAATGTCCTCAAGCGCATTGGATTGGATAAAGTAATTGCAAAGCTCCTGGTACCTCATACCAACGGGTCTGAATGGTCTATAATACACTGGACATTCAGTAATGTAGTGTGGGAGATCATGCCTCAGTTCCTGCTCACAGAGTTTGCACCTTGAGTGCTCAGTACTGGGAGATCCGTCACCTGTAGCCACCTGCCACAGGTAACGGTAACCCAACCTGACCCTAGCAACCACTGTGTGGCACAGTCTGGTGGACGTTTT